CTACACGCTACACTCTTAACAATTTTTACCCGAATCAACACAATCCGGAGTATATATGACTTAACCGGATTGTGATGATTTGACACGGCTTGGTTGTAGCGGAGACACAATGTGGAAACCGCCCAACACTACCAGGTGGCCCACGTAAGGTGTAAGTGAAAGGAGACGCTGTAGCTTCAACGGTTTTTGTGTTGAACATTTCTAGTTAATTTTAATGGAAAGCCAGTTAATTTCTGAGCAGAAAATAATTTTTAGTTTTCGAAATTTCCTCCAACTGCAATAATGCAGCGCTGAAGACGCGGCCTCCAGCCCTCCGCTGAAGCACGCACTGAATTTGTGGACAATTTGTAGCATTCCGGGGTCAAAGTTTTTTTTCAAGGCTCCGCACTTCTCTGGGCCTTAGAACACACATTTGTCTTTAACTTTAACCTTATTTCATAAACCGGAGATTCAAAACCAACAAGACTAATAGCCATTCAAAAGTGGAGATGAAGTCCGGAATTTGGTTTTTAAGCAACGCTTGCGCCGGTTTTGGCACTATGAGCTGGTATGGAGCCCTGCTGAAAGGTCTAATCGACTCCATTGAATTGGATCTCATATGGGGGATGTACCACGGACTCTAAAACGTATTTTAAGAAATTTTATTTGTTCACCCTTCCCTCATTTTCGATAAAATGCGGTGAAATTGCCCCAATTAGCTCTCTCCTGCCAAAACCATCAAAATACCTGGATGATGTCACCTTTTGTCCTGTTTTCTCTATTGGGGGTAATCTTTGGCCGATTTGGAGTAAACAAGGTCAATTTGTTTGTTAAAAAATTCCTTCACCTTGAAAATCTCCTCATCTGCAAAAGAATACTCTTCACAGTTTTTGGAGCGTACCGCTTCAAGTGATCCCTGCGTTTGTTTCATCTGACTTTGTTTTGGGGAGTGACCGAGAGGTGGTAAGTGCCACGTTTTATAGCCGGAAGTCCAAGCTTCAATTTGAGTACTTGTTGGATAATCTGCGTCGACCCTATCATCTGTAAGACTACTATCCGTAAAAATTATGCGGATTTTTTCGGATTCTAGGCTTCAGCGCCTTTGGCATGGGTGCGGTCCTGGTGGATTTAAAAAAAATTTCTTTGACTGTTTTTAGTCATTCCAGTCACAATTAACGTTTTTATAGTCCCCTGGACTAAATTAAAGTCCAGCTTTGATTCTTTTAGCACTTATAAAATTCACTAATTTTCTTCGAATTTTTTTGTGAAAAATTATCGCCGCCTGCGTAATTTCAAGATTTTCCCTACTGATATGTTTTTCAAGTAATTAGAAACTGATTGATGTCATTTATGTAGAATCGCACGAGGAATACAATGCACTTGTCAGATTTTAGTTATCTCTTGCCATTTTGAAGATAAGAGCTACTTACACCTTACGTGAGCCCACTAGGTAAATAGTGAGGATTTAACACATTGTGGAAAAAATGTATCACAATGTGGGGTAAAATATTATCACAATATGGTTAAGTCATGTTTGCTCCCCGTTTCTCCCCGTTTTGCTAAGAGTGTACATAAATTTAGGAATTCAGTTTATTACTTACGGCCTTCTTCCTGCGGGGCACACAGCACTGGTAGCAAGACACATGCCAGGACTAGTAGCGTAAGGTTTCCGGATCTCATGGCAACCTGGGCATCAAGGAAAAAATAATTAATTAATTTGACGTTCAATGTCCGGCTTAATTGTTACGTTAAGGCCCCATTAATTGTTGTGTGTCAACTTCCCCTTTATTCAAACGGCGATTTTAAAATTACGTTTTTGTATTAAATGAATTTTGTTTTGAATCGAAACATTTTTACGTTAGGAGATTAGAATTTTGACTTTTTTCTGTCACGAGTAAATGTATAATTTTACCTTGTTATTTCTGTTTTTATTTTCTAATCGACGAAAAAAAATTATAACCTTCTAACTTTGTCAAGTTAAAAATTATCGATTTTTAGATGTAATAATAAAGTGCGGCAAAGCACGATACATAAGTAGCGCAATAATGCTGAGAATGCTGAGAATGCTGAGAATGCTGAGAATTAATTTGCGCAATTAATTAATTGAATTAATTGATTGATTAATTAAATAAATAATTAATTAATTAATGATTAATTCATTAATTCATTAGATTTAATTAATTGATCACACCGCGACCGCACCCCCTGACGCTGAGAGGGTGTGGCACCACTTAGATACACACAATTTAACTGCATTTCACCCATAGATTAATTTGCGCTATAAATCTCATTTTGCCCCGATCACACTGAGACCACACCCCCTGACGCTGAGGGGGTGTGGCACAACTGAGATACACATAATTCAACTGGATTTCATCCATAGATTAATTTGCGCTATAAATCTCATTTTGTCCCGATCACACTGAGACCACACCCCCTGACGCTGAGGGGGTGTGGCACAACTGAGATACACATAATTCAACTGGATTTCATCCATAGATTAATTTGCGCTATAAATCTCATTTTGCCCCGATCACACTGAGACCACACCCCCTGACGCTGAGGGGGTGTGGCACAACTGAGATACACATAATTCAACTGGATTTCATCCATAGATTAATTTGCGCTATAAATCTCATTTTGCCCCGATCATACTGCGACCACACCCCCTGGCGCCGAGGGGGTGTGGTCCAAAAGTTTACGGGATCCTCCCCCTGGGGTCATGTGTATGATGCCGCAAACCGATTTCGATTATCTTGATGCGTTCTCGAGTTATAGTGTTGACGGACAGACGGACAGACGGACAGACTAACTAACCGATCGCATAAAGTAGCTTGCGCTACTTAATAAAACCTTTATAGACAAAAACAGAACAGGTTTTAAAATCCTTATTTGAAGGAAAACTTGCGAAACAAAAATTCAAGCTCAAAACCAGCATGCAATGGAACGTTGAATAAAAGTTTGTACTAAATTTTAAAATTATTTTACAGCCTTGAATTTTAGTAGGTTTTGGGTTGGATTTTGATAAATTGACAAACTCTCCGAGCAATGTGTGCAGATAACTGTTCGCTCTGATCTCGGCGTCGTTTCTATTTATTCCCATTTGCCCAAGTTATGTAAATATGTTGTGTCATACACAAGCAAATAAAGTCATCCGATGCTCGGTCAGCTCACTTTCTGCACGTGATATTGCGAAACATATTGCGAAATATGGATAAATTGAGGAATGATTATATATAAATTATCTTACATATTTGTAAATACTAACTTGCAAGGGAACATTCCGAGGTGTCGATCGAGTTGAGGGTCGACGCTTATATTGACAACAATACATGACTTGTTGAACAAACTAATGGAATTTCGGCGTAAAAATCATTACCGTCAAGATATTTGTGACGAGCGTACGACCATCGGGGTGTCAGTGGGAATGGCCACGATCAGTTCCAATATCTATACTTTTTCCTCAGAGATTAGTAGAATGTTTCCAAATTTCAGATAATTTGGAAATCCTTTTTCAAAATTTCCAATAATCTGGCACAATTTGGATTTTTTGAATGTTTTTAAATTATATAAACTTTTTTGAATTGGTACAAATTTTTGGTAAATTATGACATTTTTTAAATTTTACAAATTATTGGTAAACTATGACATTTTTTTAAATTGTACAAATTATTGAGAAAATTTGCATAATTTCAAAAATTTGCACAATTAAAAAATAGATAATTAAAAAATATTAATAAAATTGCAAAATAGGCGAAATTGATAGAAATTCTGAAGAAAAAAAGTTTCTCCAATTATTTGAAATTTGTCAACTTCTGCTTATCTCAAAGGAAAACGTATAGTTGACTTGAAGAACTATTAATGGGCCCTGAAATTGTCTTAAATCCTCCAGTAAAAATGTCTTAATTCGGCTTATCTTAATTTACCCCGAGATTAGGAAAAGGTAGCCTTCAAGCTATCTTAATGAGCCATGATTTAATTTACATATGATTAGATGATGAATGATGCCAAAGTTAAATTGGAAAAGTAAACTGAATGAGTGATAGTCTGAGGCAAACTTCCAGCATTGAACCAACGAAATAATTCTCCTTATTTTCAAATTCGAAACAATTTCAAGACATGGATAATAACGGTGCAGATTTGGATTATCGATCTGAATCAAGTGAGTCTGAAGAAGATAGTCAACCTCCTCCTTTGAAAAAACCAAAAAGGGTCTCAAATGACTGGGAAAAAGTAGAAGCATTTGAAACGTTTGAGTCGGCTAACAAGGGACACTCACGACCTGTCGTTCGTGTCCAGGGTACCCACTATGTTTTTTCGAATCTACTAGGACCCTAAATGAAGGATCCATTCTTATTTCCGTGTAAAACTCATATTTGGCGCCGTGGCGTGGCTCCAAATTCGCCAAATTTGTAGGTTTTTATTTTTAAAACCGCCATAACTTTTGAAATCCTGGGTGGATTTAAAAAAATCCAAACATCATGAAAAATAGTTCAACTTTAGTATGCAGTCAAGTTTTTCAAAATATTCATTGTTTCAATTTTTGTCAAAATTTTGAGATTTTTTTTACACGTGAAAATTCGGCGAAAAAATCTTAAAAATCTCTTAAAAATAAAAATTTTACATTTTTTATGTTTTTCTTCAAATTTTGACCTTTGTGATCATTTTAAGTCCAAAATTTTGAAAATCCCACATAAACTGCAAAAGTTATGGAGGTTTGAAAATGGTCGAAAACGCAGGGGGGTAATTCAATTCGAAGATAAGCATTGCGTAACCATAGATTTTGCTCAGCAACGGAAAAATGTGATTCAATTGGAAATAATTTAGGCATTTACTTACGCACGCGCTTACGCCAAAAATCTAATTCAATTAAAAAACAATTGCGTAAAACTTGCTAATCTTTATAAGTACTCGGGAGCAGTTTTATCTTTTGCGTAATATAATTTTAAAGCAATAGTAAGCTTTCCGGCTCGTCTTTCTTCCTATTTAAATTGTGATAGTGTATTGTAAACATACAAAAAATGGCTGTACCTTTATTTGTTTTGGGAAACGAGCACAATCGACGTTATCCTCAAAGAAAGTTGCTCGAGAACTTATCAGAGTTTGAAATAAGAAAACACACTGGACTACCTTGGTGGGGAGTACGAGAACTTTTACAGTGGTTAGAACCGTTGGTGGAACCTAAAGGATTTACAAATCACGCTCTGACTGCAGAATCAAAAGTATTGACCGCCTTAGGATTCTTCCGATCTGGGGGTTTTCAGTGGCTGATGGGGTCAAACGGTGGGTTATCTCAATCAACAACGTCGAGAATAATTGAACAAGTAAAACTTAACATTATTCACTTAATTAATGATCGTTTACAAGTAGCTTTTTAAAAATTGAATAAATTTTAGGTAAGCAAGGCACTCGTGAGGGAGTCGCCAAAAATTATATCGTTCCCCAACGCAGCTGAGCAGACGCGAATTTCCACAGCCATCCATGTCAAAAGTCAGTTTGCTAATATAATTGGAATTATTGATGGATCTCACGTGAATCTAATTTCTCCAAGCCAAGATGAACGATCATTCGTTAACAGAAAGCAAAACCACTCTATCAATGTTCAATTAATTTGTGATGATAAATTCCGATTCATTGACGCTGTAGCAAGGAACCCTGGTGGCGCTCATGACTCTTTTGTATTTCGCAATTCGCACATTTATCACCGGTTTCTCACTGGCGAATTTGGGAATGGAAAATTAATGGGTAGATGAATAATTACATAAAACATGAGATAATGTGACACTTAATTTATTATATATTTAGGTGACTCGGGATACTTTCGGTCCCCCTTTATGGAGGTTCCTTACGCCAGACGTGTCATCACCCCATTACAACGTGATTATAATAAACGGTTGACCTCTGCTCGATGTGCCATTGAATGTACAATCGGACGATGGAAGAGTAGGTTCAGATCGATGCATAGGTAATCATTTAACACAATTTATTGGCTTTTAAAAAATTGAACATCTAATAATAAAATTTTCATATAAATAGGAGCGGAGGAGAACTTTGTTATGCGCCAAGAAAAGTTTGCCAATTAATTATCGCCACATTAACTCTTCATAATTTTTGCCATACTACAAACATTGAGCTACTTCCTGAGGACGACGATGTTTTTGATCAAATTGTTAGAGAAATACAACAAGAGAACTAAATACTAATATTTATCTAAATACTAATAATATTTATTTACTATAATATTAGGGTTATTTAATTTTTCATTAATTCAAGTTTCGCCTGTTCGATTGAGTTGCGTTGCGCCAATAAATCACCAATCCGTGCCAATTGTTCCGTTTGGACTTCGAGTAGTTTCACTTGCTTGGCCTGCAGTGCGAACAACGTTGTTTCTGCAGAACGCTTAACTTGTTTCTTGGGTTTAGGTATTTGAGCAACATCTTCATCAAAATCATCAGTCGTGGCGTCTGTGATCGACTTACGAGTCTCACCATTATTTGCTGTTGGTTCAATTATTGAAATGAGGTTGAGTGGAGCGGGATCAATGGTAGATACTGAAATAGATAATGTTTAAATTTAAATGAATTGTGATTATTGATTGTAAAGAATTTAGTTGGACAATAACACCTACATTTGCTAATGTCGAGTCCACCTTCAATTCCTACGATTTCCACTCGCGGAATGAGTGCCAATAGTTTTTCACCAATAGAACTTTGGGGCTGTAGGGTTGCTGTTCCTCCCCCTGTTTTCTTCATTTCATTTGAATTCGCCGTCTCGACCTGTTTGACATTTGTTTTCAAAACTTGATATTTCTTCTTAATTTCCGCCACGGTTCTGGGAGGATTTGCGGTTGAAACAGCGTTTACTTTTTGGGTAACATCGTTCCAAAGTTCATTTTTGCGATCATTGGTCAAGGCCAAACTGAATTTTCCAAAAAGTGCATCAAAGTGTAGTCCCACAGTGTCGACCAACGCTTCACATTCATTGGAAGAAAAGTTAGGGCGCCCTGACATAAACGAATATTACTACCAGTGCAAATTATGAAAAAATGTAGTAAAAATTTATAACTTACTACTAGTTTCTTTCTTTCCACCTTTTTTTCCACCTTCTTTCTTTACCACACCTTCCTTGAAATCCATCCCACCAACGGATGTTTTAATCGCGTCGACAAAAATATTTATTGTATTATATAAAATCCAAAGTTTTGACAGACAACTACTTTGGAAAAATAATATTTTTTGAAAAAAGAGAGAACAGATTTATTCAATGCTGAGCAAAATAATAGAGAGATGAGCAAGTTTAAAAAATCCGCATGCGTATTTACAAAAAAATATTGAATCGCTTTTTTTGCTGAGCAAAATCTATGCTGAGCAATGCGTAAGCAAAGCACATGATTACGCAAGCTACAATTGAATTACCCCCCAGATTTTTAAGTTTGGCGCCACGCCACGGCGCCAAATATAAGTTTTACACGGAAATAAGAATGGATCCTTCATTTAGGGTCCTAGTAGATCCTAAAAAACATAGTGGGTACCCTGGACACGAACGACAGGTCGTGAGTGTCCCTTGTAAGTGCAAAATCAAATCGGAACGAAAATTTGTGTACAAAAGTTCCACTGACATATGCAATGGGAAGAAAATGTATTACAATTGTGCAATCCAACGCTGTCCGGCTAAAATTCATTTGTATCTTCTAGGTAGAGTCTTTTTTAAAGATTTTAAATAAATTTGTATACTGCATTTGCTACTTGTTTAAAACTATAATTCTCATTTCTCACAAACAATAAGCGACAACCTCACTGCTATTTTGTACAAAAATGTAAAAGATCACGACCACGAGCACGCATCTACACATGGAATAAATCACGAAACAAACAACAATAGATGCAATTTTTGCGGAAGGAACTCAGATGCCTAAACAAATTATTAAGAAGTTGCGTGAAATGGGACTAGATCCACCTAGCAGAAAGCAAATAACAAATAGAATATTTTACATAAATTCGAAAAAAACGACCTCGTGCTGTTTCTCTTGGACAACTTGCAAAGCTATGTAGCGATAATGCGAAGATTCCTGATGACCTGGATCAGCCTTACATCGTTGGTCAACAAGTTGACATTGACTTCACCAGTTGGCAGACAACGAGGACGAATTTGAAGTGGCAAAGAAGCTGTGGATTAAGAAATGGAACAAGAATTCGACTAAGGAATTTTGTGACTATTTCCACAACAATTACCTAGACCAACGGTACGGATGGTATGAGGGCTGTGCCCCGGGATTCCCAAGCACAAATAATGGCGTTGAGTCTATTAATTCTACAATTAAAAAAGAAAACACTCTTCGGAGTAAATTGCCACTGGGAAATTTTTTCCCTACAATGGAACAGATAGTCTTAACTTAAACTTATTTAATTTATAACAAATTAATTTGGGAAAGCCACACCCAACAATTAAAATTGACAAAAACGAATAAAAAACAACCCTGAACAAAGTTAAAGTTGTTTAATCGCCAAACAACGGTCTCAAAGTTTTCTCCTTCAAATTTCCCAACTGCCGTCAGGCACGCCTCTGCCTGTCCTGGCACGCACAACGCCAACCCCACCCCCCTCCCTCCCTTTCATGGACAACAACATTCCCTCCCAACTGCCGCAAGGCACGCCTCTGCCTGTCCTGGCACGCACAGCGCCACCCCCACTCTTCTCCACAGGATTTCCAAGACGGGAACGATTTCGGAATTTGTCCCCTCCCTCCCCACCCCGATCCTGAATCAGTCAACCACGTCCACAACTCACCGTCCACAACTTTAACACAAGACGCATCACCTTTATCAACACAAGACGCATCACCTTTATCAACACAAGTCGCAACACTTTTAAACACTTTCGAATCCGTCACGTAACACTACTAAAATATAAATTGACTTATAATGTTATATCTATGTAAACAACAAATTAACTATTACTTTTATTTATTTTTTCCGTTGAATTTCCTGCACAATGGATTGCAATATTTGTCATTTGAGAATTTTACCAAACCGGCAATTCCTCTCTTGTAAAACTTGCCACAAGTTCTTTCACCGGACAAATTGTATCCCCAAGATCAGCTGTCAATCTATCTGGTCGCAATATAAAAGACAAGGGTGGCTATGCATTGATTGTACAAATATTTTATCAACGTCTCAAAGTAATGTAAATGATAACCACACCTCTATTCTAGCTAATCTGAATCATCTACCTTTCAACAATACCACACCCATCAACTCACCAACACTTGAACAGAACATTGAACTTTCACCGCAGCAAAACATCACAACAATAAATTTTACTCCTCACCCAGCACAAGTATTTATGAATAATAATAGAGGTATGAAACTATGTCACATTAACTTAAACAGCATGCGGAACAAATTTGAAGATGTTCTTGAATTCTTAATTATTAACAATGTAACGCTCTTCGCAATAACCGAATCACACCTCGACGAGGTTCGTGATTTGTCCTCGATGTACAAAATACCGTCGTATAATATGTTAAGATTTGATAGGTCAGTAAACTTAGGGAAGTCGCATGGGGGCGGCATAGTTATATATATTATCAGAAATGACTGAATTATGTTTGTAAATGTGGCTAATTTGTTTATTGGGCGTGCGATTACGTAACTATTTGCAAAAGAATAAACTACGCATAAAATGATTTTCAGTGGTTGTGGACTTGGTGATATTTATTTCTCTCGAGAGAGGATGAAACTCATGTGTGAAAAAGTGGTGGACATTTGTGTCCCAATAAAGAGGCAGCTTGAGACGCAGTATTTGGTGGTCTGACTATATATACGTTTATTCCCTCCTTCCACTTTGCTGTCCAAAAACCCAATAATCTACTTTACAATGTCAACCTTTTCATATCGTTTTCTCTCTCCCCCACTACTTAAGGATCTATGTACATACGTGTATCTTGCAATCTAACATAATGCTGCCTTTGCACTCTCTCACGCTTCTGCATGGGTCAAGAGTCAAGCATAATAAATTTTAATGGTTGGCTGGAACTTTGTTGCCGGCTGGTCGAAACTGGACACTTTTCACCAGATCCTGGTCTCTGGTTGAGATGAGATGCTGACACTCTCTTTGCTTAAATCTCTTGCTGTACCACCAGCAAGGCGTGGGACGAGTAATGCATACACACAAAAACAATAAAACTCATGTAAGTAATGAGAAAATAAAATGTTTCGGAATAAAATTTTTGGAGTTTGCATAATCGAATTACAATTTGCTTTTCAAGATGAAAATTTACAACGACTTAAATTATGTCACTAAGTTTTAGCTACTTACATGGGAAACACAAACTGAGAGGCTGTTCAGAAAATAAAAACCCATGGACATTTTTACACTTCATAAATTTTAACATAAGCTGATCTGTCATTTGTCAAGTCTCCACTGATTATTGCTGGTCAGGGTTGCACGAGAAAACACAAACTGCTTACACTAGACAGAAAAAATGAAAAATCGTGACCCGAGTTAACCCTCCTTACATACAATTTACAAATTATCTGATATTTTTATCGCCTGCCCGGAGAACGAGACACGTAAATTCTAAACTAGTATTTACTTACGACCCCTTAATTATGTTACAATTGGAACGGAGGAAAGAGGAGACTTTTCATCTCTTGACTCGATACTTTACTTATGGGCAGCTGCATTCGCCTGTGGGTTGAACACGGATTGGCCTGTTATAAGAGAAGAAAGGAGGCACACAGTTATTGGATAACATTTCAAGCTTTTTTATGTGCAACTTCCGCGTAATCCTTGCATTTTGCACGACAGAGTGAACGGATTCCTGGAAACCTTTGTCAGGCAACAATGCCATAGCTAGCGCTTTCAAACAATATGCTTGGTTATTTTCGTCTCTATAAAAATTTGTCAAATCTTCGTATCGATGTGCTTCTTGGCAAACTAATAAACTCTTGAGGTCTCCATCGACACTCTGTCCTACCAATGTATTATTTTTCAAACATTTGCAAAAGAGATGCTGAATGAAGCCTAAATCATAACCACCACTTAACATAGCTGGTGTTATTCCATTCAAAGACTCATGATAT